AATAAATCCAATCTTCTTTATTTCCAATAATAAAATCTTATGATAATATTTCATAAAATAATATTAACCAACCATATAATAAAGTGACGGTTGGATTCACTATCCAAAGTGTGAATAGAAAGAGAAAAAGAAAAATTGTTAATCAATATTCTGATAAAATTTAGTGTTAAAATCAATAAAGAATTAACATACATCAATACTCTTCACTCAAGCATTATACTTTCTATGTTGATAAAAGGCTTCATGAATCCTTTCAGTAGTAGACAGATTCGATTATTCAGTTTTCGGTGGGATTCACTTTTCATGCTTCACCTACAATAATTTATCATTCTTTCATTATTTTTCAATACGCATCAGATACTAATAGGTTTTGGATTCTCTTTAAACCTCGAAAATAGAGTACAAAGACAGTAGATTCTTTTGAAAAAGCTGAAAGAAATTTTTCTCAAAGGATAATTTTATGGAAAGATGTAAGACATTTTATTAGGATACTTTTCAATGAATATTGGAAAAATGTGAATTGAACACTTATTTTACTAACCAACTACTAAAATACTCATGAATAGATACTGAATCATTGAAAAAAAGAGCTCAATTTCTATGTGCTTTCCTAAAATCATATTTATTATTTTTTTTTCAATGAATAGGACTGATTATAATATTTATTAGAAATATTACCAGATGTTTAAAAAAATAACGTTAATTAAAGAAATGAAAGAGGATAAGTATTCTTAATTCAATCGGGATCAAATAAATATTATTGAAATGAATTTTTGGAAAAATGATTATAAATTTTATGGTAATGTTTTCATATATTTTAATTAGAATAAAAACTGTTTATGCATAACATGGGAATAGTTGATATTTAAATCTAAAATATTTGGATGCCTTAACGAAGACTGTGTCACTGTATTCCTTCCATAACAAATATGAGCTGATCATTTTAAATAAAACTATACCTACTGTTTTTAATAATAACAAAAAATCACTATCTGAACATTACATTTCTTTAATATATATATTTCATAAAAGCAATATATATATATATATTGCTTTTATGAAAATTATGAATCATTTAATAATGGCAAAAATAAGCATTTACAGCAAAAAAAGTAAATTGGCAAAGTTTTATGATATTTAGTGTTTGTTCTGTAGAATATTTTTTTATAAATTATGATTTATGTTATATATGTGCTAAGTAATAGTAGCTATTGTCGTTTTTAAGCACGTACGTACAAGAAAAGACACTTGACAAAACCTAATGCAAAGTCACGCTCATTTGTGTTTCTTTCTTCTTATATAAAGATTTTTAAATACTTAGAGTTTTTTGTTACAATATTTCTTAATTAATATTTTGGTGTAAAATAGAAAATTTATTATTCTGTACACATTTTTCCTAGTTATATATCGGTTGTGTCGTTATTTTTACAACAAAAATATTTATTTTCCGTATATATATATATATATATATATTTCAAGAATAACAATTTTATTCATCAGTAGATTGAGCAAAACTGAAGTGCGGAATATTGTAACAATTTCTGAAAAACAAAATATGTACATTTATATGTATTAGCTCCCTTGAGAAAATACAAAAACCTCATCATTATTCGTCACACGTAAGGGATAAAAACTTTTTTTTCACACTTGGACACCTCAATTGTCTGCATTGTATAAAATATTCCTCTCAGGAATTTTGATTATTATACAAGCTGAAATATTTTTAACTATTTCCTGAGATTGAAATAAAAAAAAATTCTCATGTGGAATGCAAACAGTGAATTGGTAAGATAAGATTTATATAATGAAGTAAATGAATGAAAATTGTTCTTGTTTAACGGAAAAAAATCAGCAAATAGAAAAAAAAATTAGTCACATTTAATATTTTCTAATTATTTTTTGTTTAATATCTATATAGTTATAAAATATTTTTAATTTAAAAAAAACTCTGTATTTTATAAATTGTTAATTAAAATCTGTTAGTATGAAAAAATTCATTAAAAATTGTTCAGTCATATAATAAAAATATTCATGCCTCATATTTTATGATTTACTTTGTTCTGTACTTCTCGAATAATGAGAATTATTATTAAATATTTCATTAACATTATCTTCACTTTATACAATATTATTCATAGGATATTAAAATAATACATAATACATTTCACCGGTATATAACGAATTGTATTCAATCATTGACCAACTTTTCGTTCGAAAATATAACCCATGAATATTTGTTATTGATTAATAATTAAATTATCTCGGAATATTTATTCAATTTTGTGTGACTAAAATGGCTGTTATAAAAAACAATAATGGAGAAAGCAGCATTGAGCACAAATTTATCAACAATTGTCAATAAATCAATTAAATATAATTAAATAAATACTCTCATCAATATCTATCCCCTGCTATTTTTTCAAAGGTTAAATTATTGTGAGGAGAGCTAATAAACACTCCAAAAATAACTTTGCGGTAAATACATGAATCAATGATAAAATCTGTATTCAAAAGGCAAAGAATGAGATTTTATTAATGTGCTGACATAAACAATCTTAAAGAGAACGAAGAAAAAGTATTCATCAGAGTCGACAAGAAGGGCAAAATAGTATAATATAAATTGCACCTAAGGGACGTGATAATGTGGCTGAAAGTCATTGTCATCAGCCGAAAAAAGAGAGTGTTAACGGACAAAGGTGATCATGAGGATAGAAATTCATCTTCCTTTATTATTTTTAACAGCAGATCCATACAAGGAGGCCTGGTGGTTTCTATACATGCTTGTCGACTTGAGTAAAGAAGCCTTCGCAGTAGAAGGAGGTGAGTATCAATTACACGGGTTCCTCCCCGGTAGAGTTTTCAGGAAATTCGTGTAGTAACTCAAGCCGGGACACTCTGGAACTCCACGCGAACAATGCCTCGAGGTCGGTGCTTTTCATTTGCATATGAATTGGCAGAGTCCTAGAGAGTGAGATTCTCGTGCGAAAGGGGTTGAAGGGATGAGGATGAAGTAAAAGCGCACGAGGCGCGACTAAAGTGTTCCCTGGTTCATCCACAAGAGGGTAAGACTCCATGTTGAATCGTTGGATAGTTCGAATTACTGTTCCAACTGGATTCGGCACTCCTCTGAATACTCTACAACCAAGCCTGTAGGCTACATCCTTAAATTACGACTTAATTAAAGTGCAATTACAATTCGGGCGACCGCCCTTTTCGTATCTACGTACCACCATGTTCCACTGTCGCAGACAGAGCCGTTCAATGTGCGACGCCGTCTGGCTGAGCTTGTAAGGACTTATCTACTTCTCGTTTTAAGATGTCCATACATGTATATATGGTGTGACTTTTGCCGCGTGTTTGGAATTACACGACCAAGATGATCGTGACCTATAAACGAGTATGCGGAATTCAGCATACATTGCTGTAAAATAAGAGAGAGGGAAATGGAAGGAAACTAGTTCTATTTCCAGTAAGCTAAAGAGTTACCACGAGAATTTGCGGACAAACAGAACTATTCGTCTTAATGTTAAAAGTAGTATGTAACCTCGAGTAAATTTATTTTCACAGATTTCGGGGTAATATGAATACTAGTGCAATAATGCATTGCGTCATTTTGTGATTTATGAAAAATTCTATTGATTTCATCCTCTAAAATCTACTCTACATTCTTTTGTTTTTAATTACTGTTCCTTTTTTTAATAAGACCAAATTAAATATTTTATTGGAAATTTTAGACACAATCATTTTTTACAATAAAAAAATCAAGTCTAATAATTTCAGTGAAAAATTATAAAAAAAAAATTAATAAATAACTACATGAAAAAAGTTTTTAATTTTGTTCCTCTTTTATTTTAAGCATTGCAATGAAATAAAACATCTATTGGAACGTAGAAACTTTTTCATTTATATATCAAAAACTCTTATTATAAATAATTTAATACATTCACTTGACGTTATAAAAATAAAATTATTCATTACTAAAGAGTTTTTTAATGTTAATCACTTAATAATTACTACTGCAAATACTAATAGTAGCCTTATTCATATATGTTGCCAAAGTTCCATTAGTTGACTCAGCACTGTCCAAATCATTCATTTCCATACGTAAATTTGTAAAGTTATAATTAATGTAAACATGTATATGTACATAATAATCTAATTATTTGAATTGTTTTGACAGAATTACAAGAATATTGGACAACTAACAGTCCTTAGACAGCACGCAGCCTAATGCGGAAGAAATTTGACACGAAAATTGGAAGAATAACATACAAGAGTATAAATATGAAAATCTGGAGGCTGCATTGAGCAGAAAATGTTTAAAGTTCCATTTTATTCTCTTACTCCTGTCCTTTTGCATCGCCACTGCAACTGGCCATGTAAACTTTTTTTTGTTTTCCATGCTTCTATACATTTTCACAGATTTTCTCTCTACAGAATTGCGAAGCTCGAGTCTAGCACATTCGTGAAATATAGGAATCCAGGGACACACGCTTCGTAATCCCGGCAAACATTATTACGCTGCATAATTTATTACCGTAATCCACGCTTCAGATACTTCTTCACTGGTCCCAAGCGACGCAGCATTACTTTACCGGTGGTGTTACTTCATGTATTTTTAACAACTTTGACTTTTTTAACCGAACGATAAAGTTGACATTCTCTTAATAAATTCAAATGATTGTCAAACAAAAACTTTCAAAACCAATCACTCAGTGGTTTTTTAATAAAATATTTGTTTAATACACACTTCACTTCCCGGTGTGATATGTATGTACATAATATAGAGTAATTTCTAACAAAAAGTGAAATTACCAAATGTTTTTCACATTGATTTTAACGAGATCGAGAAAACTAAATTTCTAGATCAACATCAATAAAACTACGATTGGTCAATAATCACTCAAGCGCTCAATGATTTTCATTTCATACTGTGTGTCTAATGCCGTTAAATAATCCTATGCTGTAACGGTCTCAACAATCCTACTTTTCGGAGAGGAGGAAAATCCACAGAAATCAATTGGACTATATAAAGACTGAGCCAGCTTCATCAAATCAAACAGTTTCATTGGAATAATCGATAAGTTAAAATTAAAAACTATTATACCAATCAAAATGTATTCTAAAGTGAGTGAAACTTTTCTTTTTTATCTTATTAAAATTTGTTAACCTGCATTTTTAATCATTCATCTCTATGTTTCAGTTGTTAATTAGTGTATTTCTTTTGACATTCGGTATTATTTATATCAAAGCCGACGGACATGCACACTCATTTCAACACAATCATGGTCCAGTGATTGGTGACCATCAAGAAGTGACGTGGACTGATAAACATGGTCATCATCATCATGATTACGTAGCACATCCTCATTATGAATATGCTTACGGAGTTAAAGATGATCATACTGGTGATTATCATGGTCAAAAAGAACATCGAGATGGTGAGTTTCAATCAAATGTTTATTTTTACTTTACCCTATAATAATAAAAACACCGGTTCATATATAATCAGTTGTTAATTATTAGTTTTTTTTCAAAATAATTTCAACTTCGATTGCAATAACGATGTTCATTTTCTCTTATGGATAATAAGTTCTCCAAAATTCAATTATTCTCAAACTAGTAGCAGTTCAAATTAAAAGATAATCACATTTTATGGGGAAGAAAATTTCCGATTTAAAACACTCTGATCAAAATACTTTCCAATAATAAGAAGTAGATAAAGAAATTGATAAAAATTAATATAAAGGAGAAAAAGAACGTAATCACTTTATATTTTTCATGCAATTATTTTAATTATTAATTTTTTTAATTTTTCACTAAATATTCCGACTTAAACAGTCTAATTAAAATAAATATTCAAAAACTCGAACAACGATAAAGCATTATAATAATATCATTTTACAATTATTTTTGATAGAGTTAGAGCCAAGCAATCTTTTTTTAAATTAATATTATAAACCTTTGTTATTAATGATTCAAAAAAGAAATTATAAAAGAATGATATTATAATTTAATAATTTTATCTCATTTAGGCGATGAAGTTCATGGAGAATACACCATCAAAGAGCCTGGCGGTAATTTCAGAACTGTCAAGTACCACGCAGGCAAAGACGGTTTTCATGCTCATGTTCACAACAGCAATGGAAATGACCACAGTGGAGACGGCCATCGCTAACAATTAATTTTATACTACGATACATTACTTTGATTCAAATAAATTTTTTTTTTTATTTGGAATATTAATTATGGTCTTTGTTGATATTCACAGAAAAAATTACCTCGATAAAACTTTTATTCATCTATTGTTCCAAAAGGAATTTGATCTCTAATTGATATAGCAAAGCTAATTAAATTTTTGATTATTATTCAGTATTTAGTCAAATCCGCTATATTGATTAAAACATAAAGAAAATGATGCAATGAAATTGCATGTTTTATTATTATTCAAATTTTAGTTATCTATAATTAAATTTAATTTACGATACAGTTACTTGAATGAAGAATACTTAAGAGAGGTATATAAAACGTGATAATAATAAGATGTATGAAGTTAGGATTAAAGTTCTTGGAAAGATCCTTTTTACGTATTATTTCTTGACATTCATCCATACAATGCGTGGAGTCGCATAGAAATGAGCTTGTTATTGATTATGATCTAATATTTATGAGAATAAAATTATGACAAAGATAAAGTAAAGTGTTATTACAAATTAAGGTGAAATTACCTTAAAAATATATCTAACTAAAGAGATCAATTACAAATAAATGAGCCAAACAACAAAAATTCAATAGCTGTTATTCGGGTGACATGATAAAAAGATTTTTGACGAATCTCAATGAAAGAGTGTTCAAGTTTTCCATGATTCTATCATTGTAACAAAGCCTTGCAGGCATCAGTTGCAGGGAAGAATTGTATCCAAATGGTTTGGTTTCTGTGTCGCTCTCGACTTATAGAAACTTCACTTTTTTACCATGTTTTTTTTTTTCATTTTTCCTTGCTCCATTCATTTTTTTTTTTGTTTTTTTTTTTTACAATTTGCTTGCAAGTTACAGCGACAAAAGCTACTGGACAAATAAAAAAATAACTATGACAACTCTTTTCCTATTTGAAAGGAAATTTTTAAAACTGTGCCAAATTTTTTACTTTTCTCTATCAAAGTTTCAATGAGTTTTCCCCCTGTTTACTGCATTCAATCAATTGGTTTGTGAATTTTCCAGTGTTATGACCTTCTTTCTCCCACAAGTACCAATACTCAACGTGAGTGAGTGATATTGGCGGAGTTTTCGAGTGAACTAGCTTGACCCTTTCGATCAAGAGAATCCTATAGATTCTCACTAGAGAGATTTACGGTTTATGGAGATATTGAATAGATTTAACCATACGACCAACACTTGAATATTCAATAAACTTGGCAGTGGTAATCTTCGAAGATACTTTTACCCTTTTTTTCTTTAATGAATTTTAAATGAATCGGAAAACAATTTTCTGCAAAATAATAAAAAGACTTGCACAATGTACACAGCTCTTGTGGTTTAACTAAAGATGTTCGTTTTATTCGTATACTCAGGAAAGAACTTTTTTATCAAAAAAAAGATTTTAATCCGAGAAAATGTTGTTTTTACATTTGTTTTTTTATTGAATTTTTAAGTAAAATAAAATACTCTTAAGTTATATTTATAATTATAATACGATTAAATCAATTAATCGATTTTTTATTAATCACACAATCGACCGAAATTCATTTTTAAACATTAACTGAAACGATTCATATCATTTGCTGATATTTTTTAATCTTTATCAACAGATATGACAAATATTGATATTATATAGAAAAATAATGAAAAAATTGATAATTCAATTTGTCATTTCTCCTTTTAATCAAAATAATTACTACAGGATATGGAAGAGAATATCGTTAGCTTCATTAAATAATTGAATATATAATATTTTCCCGTCCATGGATGTCTGATATAACCAAGTCTAGCCGGTTTACCTAATAAATTATTTCATTTTCAAATCAATTGCATTTTCATAGGAAATATTTATGTAAGATTGAATAGAAAGTTTTTTTTTACATTTATAACCACAATTGTCTCGTGTATGCGTAAATATTATCCTACAGATGTATTTTTATCCACAAAATTCTATTTATTAAACTGAATGATATTGTTGATCAATTAGGTTAACGATAAGCTTATAAATATATAGACAAAAGCAAACCCTACATTATGTCCAGGTCACTTACTTATTATGATCTATCTACACTTTAAATTAGAAAATTGTGTGTTTGTATGCTATTATAATATCGCTAATTATTAATGTAGAATAATCACCACTAAGTAGAGCCCATTTATATTAATTAGAATTGTTACAGCGATTAGTAATAAATATCTGAAATGAAGCATCTCATTGCTATTATTAGAATGTTTTTGTCTCTATAGCATCTTTTATGGAAAAATTTAATGAATAAATTAAAAAGTAATCAAAAATGAAAAGACATCCTATTTTTCGCTCCAGGCAGTAAATAGTAGACAAGATTTATAACCATTATTTTCTTAATACTGAAGATTAAATAAGATATGAACGAAAAAGAAAAGACATCAAAATTTCTTTGAACTAATGGCGTGTAAAGTGGAACAAATTACTAAATGAGTTTATATCTGATTGAAACAAAAAAAAAAGATCATTTTCGATGAAGTTATCAAACAAGTAACAAATTGTAAGCTAATAAATATGTCAGTTGACGCGAATACAATTTTAATTATTTATTCCACAATTTTTTAGATACTCAAAAATTTAGATTTAATAAACAAAATAGTTCAGCTGAACTATTGGATAAATTATTGATTGAATTTTGTAATTAACTTTTTTTAATTAAACATCACTCATATTATTTGGTTATTGAATAAATATTACAGGCAATAACAACTGTAATTAACTTGCGAATGAATGATATATCTAATAAATTTATTGTTAATATCGAATTGATTTGATTCTCAATTCTATTTAGAAACTTTTGACGTGTATCAATTTTTATCAAAATATTTCATCAATGAAATTGAGTCGGATAAAATTATTGTCGCACTAAAATCACTAAAATATTCCATCTTCCTATCAATCAGTATCATAAATGTGGCTCAAGAGGATTACCAATGGAATGGATAAGATAATATTGAAACAACAAACAGATACTGGATGCCTATTAATGACATCAAACGTTCTTCTCTTGCAAACATCTTTACAGACAACAAAGTTCTTATGAGATAAATAATTGTTAATGAATTAACTTGAACTTCAATTTCTAAGAAAACAGTTTTTTCGATATAATTTATATAAATATTCTGAATACTCATTAAAAATGTTATTAAAAGTTATTACTTGCATCTTGATATTTGTTTGCCATTATCATATTAATGCTGAAGAACTTACAACAACAACTAAAGTAAGTAAAAAATGAAGTTATGCGTCATTGTCATGAAAAATTATATAAGTTACTTTATTTAATTTATATCATTTTTATTTCTAATTACACCTGAGAAAAACTATACTTAGACAGACCCGGGGTACTTTTTAAAATTAATTATCAGCTTTTCATCATTTACTACTGACAGATATTTCACTAGTTTGCCAAATTATCAATTCTTTTATGTGCCAACTTTTACAATTAACCTATTTTATTTGCACTATATATCAAACTGAAATCAATATTGTCAATAATACAGCGTAGGAAGTCGAATGTTTATTTTTTTTTAGTGCAAAAGAAAATATTTATAATGACTTTAAAAGCTTGGGCTTTTAAAATTACAGAAACTTTCTGACAAATCTATTTATTGAAGCAATGAATATTATAGAATTTTCATTAACATTTATTTGGATTATGAACTTGCGTTGATAAAACACGAAAAGCATCTTTTACAACAGAAATAAATTGATTGCAAAAGTAATGTTTTAATCACACAAATTTAATTTTCAGATAAAAGAGTATAAAATTAAGTAATCAATTAATTGTTTTATTTATCATTGTAGAAACCACTAACGGAAGCAACTGCAATAGAAATTGCCGTAATCCTATCAGGTATTTTAGCTGTGAGCACAGTATCAGTGCTTATTGTTCTGCTGCCAACAATTATCTATTAGTAAGTTATAACTTGCTAAAACTACTTGAACTTTACTTAACTTCAATAAAAAAAAAAAAAAAAAAAAAAAAACAGCAATTAAATAATAATGGGTATTTAATGTTTCAGTAATCATCGGGGCAAAGAAGAATCAGATCCAACAATCGTGATTAATTGATAGTAATATGATGTACATTCAATCGATCAGTGCGCAGAGTGACTTAAAATCGTGCAAGCAGTCCAGCAATTGCAATATTCATTGGAGTAACTTGCTAGAACAGAGAATTTCGCACCTCTAACGCCCCAATAATCCGCAAATATAGCCGGAAACAGGCGAGAATTAATTGCATAGAATTGACATCGACAAATGCGAATCCACTAATAAATCCGTTATTCCATGCAGCAATGAGTCTGCATCGCATAGCGATACTTAGAGATATTCATCGCGCCAGTTTATACTGTAAAATTGGAAAATTTATTGATGAACCTCACGATTGAACTAGCTAAACAATTAAATCGAATAAAGTTGATTATTGAATTTTCTAAATTTAACTTTCAAAATTGTTTTGTAGTCCACACTAATTGTCTATTATTTGTCATCAATACTCTTATATTATTTATCTCTTTACTCTTATTTATATAACTCCTGTATGTGTCAGAAAATCTAGACGACTTGATAGATTAAATGGAGAGTTTTAAATATAAGTAAATATGTTAACTGGTATAAATATTCATAAAGATATATTATCTTCAATAAATGACATTTTGTAAAGTTGATCTTGTAATTTAACGTAGAGAATCCTACTTTCCTTCTTTATATACTGTTCAAATTGTAGTTATTCTTTTAATCAAATTCGAATATACAATCTATCATCAATTGGAAAGAAGACTTACCATTTAGCTGTGTTGCTGCTTCAAAAAAGAAATGGATAATTGCATAGCTGGAGAAAAATGGATCCATTCTCGCCGACGCTTTTGACAGAAATGACGCAGTAGACACTGCGTTATTTGTACCAACCAAGAAGATGTGTTGTCAGTAATATAGGTTTTCTCTTTTACCACACCAAGTAACAATTTACCATCATTGTTTATCTTTAGTTAATAAATTAAATTTTTTGATTATCAACCGTATGTATTTACCATCTGACAATCATCTCTTAAATTAGTTCTTGAGGTGTGGCGCTGATCTACCATAAACTGAATTTTCGTTTTATTTGTGTCGTGCGTGTTTTTGGAATCACATGTTGTAGCCTTAACTTTGTCTATAAACATAAAAATGCCGGAACATTCACGTTTGAAATTATTTTACAATACGGTATTATGTCAATGTTTTTCACCGTCAGGAAAGCATTTGGTGGCTGGAAATATTTATGGTGATATTTCTGTATACGAGTAAGTATCGATATAAGTTAAATATTTGTGTATTTATTCAATTTCATTCTGATTTGTTCAATAGAAATAAACTTTCACTTTAGTTTTTATTATTTCAATTAATTTTGCAGCTTAACAAAAACATTAGCTCCGACTCAATCAGATGAAGATCATGTACAAGGACCAACATATAAATTCACTGCTTATGCAGAGCAACATGTACAAAGCATGGTATCAACGGATAATTTCTTAGTCACAGGAACAGCTGGCGAAATTTCAGGATGGGATTGGAATGCAGTTACTTCGAGCAAAGCATCTAAAATAAAGGCTTCTTGGATCGTTCAAATTCCTGTTGGAAAGTGAGTAAAAAAAGTCTAATCATAAAAATAACTAGTGAGCATTTTTTATCTTAGAAGATCCAAGAAAATAATGCACAATTTTTATTTAGAGACAGCTCTGAAAAACCTGACGTTAACTATCTTGTCTTCTCAAAAGAAAAACATTCTTTATATGCTGGTTGCGGAGATAATAAAATTTACATTATTAATTTGGAAAATGGCAAAATCTTAAAGACATTAGAGGGTCATGAAAATTACATACATTCTTTGGCGTTAATGTAAGTATTTTCTTAATATTTATATAATTACAATATATCACAAACGTTAATGGAATTCCTATTTTTTTTGAGCGTTACTTACATGATAACACAGAGCTGAATTATTATTGAAAGTAAATTATTTCTTCATGATTTTACAATCTATTAAGATACTGTAAATTCAGTTATTTAACTTCAGATAAAATTACTATCATATTCTAAAATTGTTTAAAGTTTGAATTTTTAAAAACTACCAATATAGCAATGTTTTTATTTCACTTATAATAAAATTTATTACGATTAACATAATTTTTTTACTTTAAATGACATTTATTGATTCAGAACAATCATTATAGCTCAACTAAATATACATGGAATAATTTTTTATGTCTTTTAGGAAAAACCAGTTAGTTAGTGGAAGTGAAGATGGATCAGTAAGAATCTGGGACCTTCGAACGAATGAGAATACGAATATTTTAAAACCTTATGTTGATCCTAAAGTTGCTCGACAAAAATTAGGCAAATGGATTGGAGCTGTAGATTTCACTGAAGATTGGCTGGTATAATAAATTTATTAAAAAATTCTTAGATTATTTTAAAGTATTTATTGAAATATTTATTATTTATTAATGTGACGAATTAATCTCACGTATTTATTTGAAAAGTTATGTGGAGGGGGACCAAGTTTATCTCTATGGCATTTGAGAACCATGGAACCTGCTACTATTTTTAGTTTACCTGACCACGGAATTCACGAAGCAAGAATTTACGAAGAAAGAATTATAACAGGTGGTTCTATGCCGTTTGTTTATCACCTAAACTATAATGGTGAAATACTAGCAGAAATCCCAACCTCCAGTAATACTGTTTATAGCATTGTTTATCAAGAAAAACCACAAAAAGTAGTAAGTATTGCAGGATCTAGTAATAAAATAGACATTTGCACTAACTTCAATTACAGAGAATTAGTATTTAAATTTTCATAATAAATTAAGTCTTATTGAAAAATGATAATAAGTATATTTGTATTTCTACTAAATATTAAGAGTTAATAATATTCATATTCCAATATTTTCATAACTAACATAATAAATTACTTATAATCGAATAATAACACTATAATGTTGAGGAAATGAATGAATGTTAATAAAATTGCGATACTTACGTCATTATTTCGTTACACATGAGTTAAAAACGACTTGACTTTCTTTTTGGAACGAAGTAAAATGAAAATAAAAATGATATAAAAACCAGACGACCTTATAGAGGCTGGTAAAGTACTAAATTACCACCCTGGTTCATCACCTCACTCCGCTGAAATTCTTTCTCAACAATAAGTAGAAAGAATCGCTTTAAACCACGCAGTCAAGGTTAAACTGCTTCTGCGATTTACAAAAGATTATTGCGGAAAATTCTTCTGCTTTGTAACAATATTTTTTTCAACAATTTTTTCTTTTTTTTTTATAAATTATTATCAAAATACTAGTATTATATTGTACAGGTAATAATTCAAAGTGTGATCGAACTTTATAGAATCATACCTAAAAATAACTGACAGCTGAATCATCAGATATTGGTTTGAATATAAAGTAGTCTTCTCTCTTGTGAAAGAAACGAAAAAAACGAAAACTTGCACACGGGGATTTGTCGTAAAATGGATGTCTCGATTGTACGTAGGAAGTGAATTATATTTTTGTCTGTGTAATAAAAATATAAAAATGTTAGTGCACGGTTGGGATGAAAAAAAGAAAGTCTAAACTGCAACGAAAGTAAATGAATAAAAAAATTTATGACTGCTTGTTGCCTTGAACATTCACTTTTAATTTTTTAAAGGTTTGAGTAATATGCAAAATCTTTGAATAATTAATGAAAATAAAATAATGTCATATCTGTTGATAAAAATAGTATATGATGCGCATTGTTAACATTTAAAAGAACACTGAGCATACCGACATAGGAAAGTTTTATTATATTGAAAAAGAAAAATGTTTTAACTTCTTTGACGTGTACTCGGCGAATAGTTCCGTAGGTGCTTATTAGATGGTTCGTTTGTAATTGCACCTTACAAAATGTAAAAATAAAACCATAACGGTAAAGTGCAAGCAAGGTTGTAGATGGATAAAGGCGTAAGACCTTATATATATACGCATATATATGTATATACGGTCATGAATATATCGAAAGATAGCTCATTATAATTGAAAAGAAATAGTTATTGTTTCTTCCTGCCTTACATAATTTCTTTTCCTTAAATGTCTTACCAATATTTTGGGTTCTTTGAGTAATATGTATTGAAAAAATTTCATCACCTCATATAATATTTACTTTAACTAACTTATTTGTTTATCCTCTAACATTTTAGTTTGAACATTAGACTATGTTTGCAGATGACTTTGAATATTTACCATAAAATTCTAAACGACTAATCATCTTCACGAATATGAATATGTAAGAGAATTCATTTAAGAAAATATTTACAAGTAAACCGGAATAGACTGATGAATAATAATTTAAAATAAAATTATTGTTTTAAATAACATTCAATCACAAAATATTTATTATTTTTTCATAAAAACGTAAAATATATATTAACTGTAAATGTATGATGTTTAATAATTATTAATCGAAGAAATTCTAATCTATTATTAAACAATAATAATTATTTATTTTAATGAACGTTAAAAAACATAATTCATGGTTATTTTTCAATTATTTAGACGCGTCATAAGAATTATTGTAATTTAACTAATGCTATTATTATTCTGAAAACCTGTACAAATTATATTAATTAAGCAAATTATATTTTCGCATTTGGTTGGATCTATTAAAAAGAAGGTCCAAGGTCTTCTGAACGTTTTGCTAATTTCCAAGGTTAAGTATCAAATTTCATGGTATTATATGTAAATAATTACTACATAACTTCAACCCTTTATCTACTAGGTCGAGTGAAATGACCATGTGAACAATAAATACCGTCATCAACGGTTTGGTGCCTGGCCAAAAACTGTACAATGTCAACAGCTGAGTACGAGTCCGTTATAATAATAAACCACACATATAATGAAGAAAGTACGAAAGAACGTAATACAAGAGTAAGAGGAAGCTAAAAGTATGTATGTAACAGGAAAAAACGAAGGTAGAGAAAGAGGAAGAATATAGAAGCTGCATGTTGTATGGTAATGTTATGTACATAATAATATATAATACATATATAAGAAATATCAGCAGAGTGTTATCGTACACACACGAGCTAAGTCTGATCCTCCTCACTTGTCAGTGATTCTTCTTCTTTCTATTCTTTCGTTTTCTCCTTCAGGATCTATCCTCTTTATGCATGTTTCATAGGAATGTGTGCGTTTAGATATACACACACATATTATTCTCTATTATTTAGTATTCGAATTCTTGTTGCGTATTACAGTACATATGTATGTATATATTTATACATATGTAGAGTTATCCCTACAAGATAACTATGTATCATTAATTTCATTCAACCATTGCAGAAATTCTCTGTATGAAGGATTTATTTTTACCCTCAGTTTTTTTATAAGGTTGACTATAAAAATAACAAATTGGGCGATTAGATTGCATTAGGTTCGTTATTTATGCTTACATGAAAACTATTTATATTATTAACGAGTTAGTGTATGTATTCTAATAAAAGGACTAATATACTCAAGATTTTATTGCAAGACGATTTGAGTTGAAGTTGAATACATTATTTATTGAATTTTATAGCTTTTTATTTTTTTAATTTACATGAAATTTACACTTTAATAATAATATTAGTAAAGTTATAATAAAAATAGAACTTTAGGAGTAATTAGATAGGAAAAATGAGTTAACATACTCTTATAAGATTGCTTTTATTTATCAAACGAAATAGTTATCAAATAAATTAAATTTTAAAAAATCTGTATACTTTTTGCGTCTGCCATTTGATCACAAAAAGTGCACAGTTGTAATAACATTTAAATGCTAAAAAAAAGTTTTATACCTTGTTTATCAAAATTGGTTCAGTCGTTTACCTACCATAAAGATAGGAACAAGTTTACATCCATACATACAAGTTAAAACACATAATTTTCCTTTACTAACTCAATTAGATTGAAAAAAATATTAAAAACACATGTCTGAAGGTCTTAAATATATCAATAAACGCATTAAAGAATGCCACACAATTTTTATTCCAAGCTTGTAATATATCTTGTTGTCTGCTGAATACAAAGATGTACGTTATAATGTACGTAATACTTTTCTGTAATAGATATTTAAAGCTTAGTGACTGCATAGTTAAAATAATGGAATATTAAATATTCTAGATATGAATAATTATTATAGACAAGATAAAAATTTATGCTTGATTGTTAATCATATAATTTTATGAGTAGTTAGACATAACAAGAGATTTTTTAATTCGCCATGTTACATTTTTACTGTGTCTCATGGAAAAAATTAATAATAGTATTTCATGAATATTTCTGTGTATACATATACATGTATATAATATATATATATATATATATATATATATATATATATTCTTACCAAGCATCGAACTCACTCGACTTGTGGCGGGTACGTTGACTTCTTCTCTCAATCTATTTGCATCTTCTGCGAATCGTAAACCATGATCATAAATCGTCCAAGGGCTTGTTCCTAGATATTTTATCCTCAAAAAATGACCAATTTTTTCATCTATTTTTATGTCTCAGTAGGTTGTGTATACTTATAACTCATGATATGTAGCACAGTGTCGTCACTACCAGCACGATACCATGATAACTATATCAAAAAATAATCAATCATGAGTATGTTCAATAAATCAGTAATTATTATGCATTTATACGCCCAAATAAATCTTTGAAATGTACTACCTGGTAACGATATGAGACAAGTTCATTGCAAAAAAAAACAATCACTTTCGCTTTTTTTGTTAGAAAATGTTGATTATTTGCTTCAAATTCTTTTTGTTTATAGGGAGTTTGCATCTATCGTGGCCTTGTAGATGCTTGTTAGGAATTCTCCGACGAGGAAGCAAATGAAAAGCGTAAGAGAAAGAGAATGAAAACTCAGCAAAGTAAAGTCGCTGAACTCCGTGAATAAAGCGTAAACAGGTATTAGGAAATTTAAACTTCGAGAGATGTATTGACCTTTCGTTCATCAAGTCATACCTCTTTTGGTAATGTCGAAGGTCATTGCTACCAGAGCCGGATTTGTCGTAACTCAAAGAAAAGAATTAAAACAATTATATCATACGTAATGATTATTATACGACAACATTGTTTCAAATAACCTTAGATAATTGTGGGACAATAATTTTAGTTCGGCTTTAATTTTTTTTGTCACGATACCTTTTGAAAAAAAAATGTAACATAAAGGATAATGAAATGTAGGTTATTTTATAGCATTCAATTCATGCTTTTAAGTGATGAATTAATCCATTTTTTATGAATAATGGATTTTTTGTTGACTGAATAATTGCAGTAATGTATGGAATTCTAGAGTATAATTTTTTTGTTATTAAAAAGTAATATATACTTGGAAGATAAATTAATCTTTAGAACCACTTAAAGAGTCTCTTTATTTCTAAATAAATTAAGGAATCTGTTAAATTATTTTCTAATGCTGTTAATAGTATATAATTGATGAATAATTCTCTGAGTTAAGCAAAATAGCATTTTCAAAGCTCACGTTTCAATTTTATGATCAGTCTAAGTATTTTGAACTTGAAAAAATTTATCTACATAAAGTTAACCAATACAAAGAAAAAACATTTTTTTCATAAGAATAAATTATTTTTTCATTACTAAAAATTAAGTAGATTAAACTTTCATAAAAGAATTGGTATTTACATAATGAAAAGTAATTAAATAGATCTAATTAATATGGTATACTTAACTTCTTAGTCGAAGTCTCAATTAAAATTTATCTGAAAGAGTAATTTAATGTTTATTGTTATCAGTCAAATAAAGATAAAAGCTATTTAATGGTAATAAGAAATAAGTCGATATGTTACAGTAGTGAATCCTATAACTGCAAAAGCTTTGAGTATCATCAATTACCATGCATACACAAACGTATATGGTATATGATCTCTTTTGCATCCACCCATTTCCTCTGTGGGAGTATGAACTCAACAAGTTCCGGAGCCTGAGCAACGGACCAGGACGAAGGAGACGACGACGAGGAAGATAAAGAAGAAGGAGTAGTTGAAGAAATTGGCAAACACAAGACAGTTAATTACAGTTATGTATAAGTCAGACAGAGACATAAGAGTTGCGGGCGTGGAAAGTGTAGGATAGAAGGTGCTTTAGAAGGTATGAGAATGAGATAGAAATAAGAGAACGTACTTCTCGACCAATAGCAGCGGCTTTTAGACATGACGCTGCAAGTATTGTACAAACATGAAGATGTGGTAGTAGAAACCGTCGAGTCTCACGAAAGGAGTTGGACTGAGGTGGTACCAGTCCGTCCGCGGTCTCTCCGGCAGGACGAAGTGGTGGAGAGAAATTATTTTCAACTAAAGTGAATCTTAATAGTGCAGTGTTTTATATTATTCCACCTCATTTAATTATTTTTTTTTTAATTTTTTTTTGATCATACGAGTGAAAATTCAGTTTTACAAAGTGACAGCAGAAAACAGAGTGCGAGAGAGGTGGGAAAGAAGACAAGGGTGAAGGCTGATGATCAGCCATGGGGACAGGTAAGTTTGTTGAAAGAAAAAACATACAAACACATGTCGGCTTGTTGGTGACTTCTTGAGGGATTATTATTAATGATATTCACAGACAAATCTTTCGGAATATGTGGAAAAATAATTGAATTATTCAAGTAAAACAGTGAATTATTGTTAATCATTTTATTGGCAATTTTTTTTTATTACCATTATAATTGCCATTTTTATGGAATTCGTTCTTAAGAATTTTTAACGTCTGTTGGCCGGAAGTTTATCAGCAAAGGACGTCTATAGCACCGAAAAAACGGATTCACGGTTCGCTGTCTTGTTCGCCTTGAAGACGAGAGTTATTACGAGTGTAATTTTTGTCCGTAGTCCAGGTAGTTTTTATTGTCTTTCTAAATTACGTGTTTCTATTTATTACATTGTTATCTTGGAACAACTTATGCTCTAACACTGGACTATATTTATTATTTGATAATAATAATGATAAAAATCATACAGATAATATGACCAATTTAATAATAATAACAATAGAGTGTTTATTTTTTTTATCAACAAAAAATAATTTATTGCAAAATTTTTATTGCTATACAATCTTATACGTCTATATACATATCTCTGGTTGTGCAGTCACCTCAACGCATTTTAGAAAGTATTTGCGGGAGAAAAGTACACGCCGTCGAAACTGTGTCTTGACCGAAAAAAAGATTACATACGGAATATAAGAGCACCAAAAATTTATCTGCTTAATCATTTATTCGTGTGGTCAATTAATTTATTTATTTTGGGGTTTATTTGAAGGGTATCATTAACAAAGGGTTTTACAGACTAATGACTTATTCCTGAAAGATTTGTCTGACCTTGGAATAATATTGAAAGTTAATAGTGAAAAAGGCAAATGTAATAAAGCCTAGGATATTGAGATTGTATCATAAAAAAAAGGGAGCACTACACCCGCAAAAGGTCGATCAACTAGTCGCCCAAAGCAGCCTCGGGTTATTGAAAAGAACTTTCTAACAAATATATTTATTGCTAAAGTCATGTAATTCAACCCCCGTGAAGAAAAAAGGGTTATTTTTTCCATTGTTTTATATTTAATGAATTTTCTTTTGTTATAGTGTACATGAAAGTGAGTAGAACAAATAAAAAAAGACAACGAATTTAATTAAAATAAAAAATTTGCGTGCAAGTGCGTGAGTGTTAAAGAAAGTACACATAATCAAACAGTTAAGTGACAATTATATTTACGTGCGTGAGCATATATTACAAATATATGCGTAAATATACGGTGGGAAAACCGTGCAGAAGGTTAGGAGAAGGATGATGATTTTATTCTTGTGGATTTTTTATTTATTACTCTTAGAGGTTATAATTAAAAGTGTTGAAGGGATATACTGTATAGTAGTTTGATGCTAATATTGGTGATTATGATAAGCATAATTACAGGGAAAATTTATATTTTTTTTATCTAGTTTATTGATAATAAATAATAATTTATTCGTTATTATAATTTAATATGTCAAGAATTTGCTCTTACTGTGGGATTATTTTTTCTTCCTTCAGGGAAAAATCAGTTCAGTGGCTCGAAAAATCACATATCATATCCCTTTTTCAATCATAGTGGAAAATATTTATTTAAATTGAAAATAAGAGCTGATACTTGGTAAGCAGTCTAGTAGAAATGTGGAATATTCAACGACTTGAATATTTCCTTACTCACAAATAAGTATAATTATAAAATTGATGAATTTTAAATTTCAAAAATTAAATAAATCCATGTTTAAATAATGTTCATTCGAAATTCTAATTTTAATAAATTCATTAAACAATAAAGAAAATATTTGATAATTAGAAAATTATTTTTACAATGATTGATTGCGCTGCAATAAATTCTTTAGAACTTGGAGAAAGAAATTCTAAAAATTTTGCGAATAGCATTTTAAGGAAGTAACTATTGGATAGTTAGTGATGGTGAAAACTTAGAAATATAGTAAAGGATTAGATGAGGTCATGGTAGTTTAGCAACTATTTCGTTACATGGCATAGAAAATATTGAAAATTAGCACACATGCGTGGGTATAAAGCCTACGCGTGCGTGTGAAGTATTAGTAGGGAGTTAAATAAAAACAATTGCACACGCTTGAAGGACGATGCTTATTTAATCTTATTTCGCCCTCATTTTTAAAAATTTACATATCGTCCTTTCATTTGATTGTGTCTGTATACACACGTATACATGTATCTGTTTCGACGCATCCTCGATCTAATTATGCAATTATTTACGATTAACCTGTTGCTAGTTAATTACTAATGGCTAATTAAATGCAATTTAATATTTGCATTAAGGCTTTTTAAAATACCGTAAATTTCCGTGTAAGTCATTCTTTAGGTTGAAGATTTTTTTCCTTATACATATTCCGATCATGTAATCGATTATCCTATATAGGTAATTCGAACCAACTGGTGTATATACTTGAAATGACTCGGGCATTTTCCTTCTAAAGTAACAGTCAAGTTCTCATACTTGTGATATCATATTCTTCTTGGTGATATTTCATAGACCATTCGGATATTGATGATGGAAAATTGATTTATTATTATAATCGAAGTTAAAAAAAATTTTTACCGTTGGAAACAATGGGATGGTGGATAGGTTTGTGTAGAAAAGAACGGTTATATGACTCAGAGAAATTTTGAGAGGCTTTTTTTTATGTTGCATAATTTTTTCTTTTTCATTGTTGAATTCATTATCAGTGCACTTTCATTTTTGTATCGCCTTCAGATACCATTGTCCTATTTCGTGACAGTAAAAAAACCTAATAGGATAATTTATATTCATATGATTCATTTATTATTGATATATTTTTTTTATTCAAATGCATGACAAATTTAATAAAAACAAATATTTGTTACTTGAAAATAAAAAATAAATATATTTAAAATTTCTCGAAGCGATAAATATTTATAAATTAAAAAATAGAATAAATTAACATAAACAAACCTAAAGCAAAAAAAAAATTGTTGTAATTATTTGAATAGTTTTGAATATTTTATTTCCTATTTTTACTCCAAAAATTTTCATTATAAATGTTTGCTAATCTTGATAAAAAACATGGGTTAAATAAAGATTAATTACTTTTTTTTATTATGATTACTTCAGATATTTATCATTAAAAACAATAAGCCATTAACAAAGATCAATTAAAATAAATGTGCTCCAATTAGAAGCTTTTATTAAAATATGAGAAAAATTATTAAACAAAAATTTTAAACAAAGGCACATTGTCCTAATTTTCTAGGAAAAGCTAAGCAAATTATTCAGGTAGACACTATTGAGAATTAGAAATAGTTTCATCTTCTAATAGATAAATAGCAGGTTTCTTTTAAACCTTACAGCCTTTCGTTTTTCTTATTATTTTAATTATATAGAGAGCAAAGTAAAGAGGATCACTTTTAACCAGAAAATCTAGTTTTCCCTTTAATGCATACGCGATCAACGGAAGTTTCAATCCTCGATGAACGATCTCACGTTCTCAAGCATATTACTTCCTGCTCTCTGAGACATCTTTCATTTTTTCTTTATTATATTCTTTCTTTTGTTTGTTAATTTATTCTTTTTTCATTCCTCACTTCAAATACACTCAATTTTACTATTTATTTCCAACGTTTATTCATTCATTCTGAATTAATTATTTTTCATTAACTTAAGTATCTTATTTACAGTTTGCTCTTGAATGTGATGGCGGTTACCGACTAAGTGTTTACTACCATCACGCGTACAAACTTATATGCGAACAAAAAATCTCGGATAAGTGAAATTACAGAAAAGAGTCCGGTTATGTTACAATGGCTCTTTAGAATGCACAAATTTAATGGCGTAAAAAATTGATTTAAATGTGGAAGAAGTTAAAACAGGGAAGTGAACACTAAAAACACTTGAAAAAACTTTTGAAAATTATTATTTTAAAGCGATTCAAAAAAATAAGCGCAAACCAGTAACTATTTGCTCATTACTAGTGTCAAGTCCATCACTCCATAAATCAATTATTGTATTAGTATTAGTACTCAATTGATGACTATAGTTTTTTAGTTATTTTGACTGATTTATTTTAAAAGATTCGTCATCAAAATCATACTAATAAGTAAAAAGTAAAAATTGTAGTTAACTAAACTGGTAAAGCAACAGATGACACCTAAAAATTTCATTACTAAATAATTTTTAAAGGACACAAAAAAAAAAAATTTATTTGACCTAATCAACAAATACTCCAAAAGTGAATTTTTAATGGGGTAATCCAAGCATCATCGACAACGTCATCAACATGAGAATCAGCAATAAGTTAATATAAAATGGCAGAAGTGAGAGAGACAAGCATCGGCAAAGGCGTGAAAGTGGTATATAACATTGAGGTGCGGTCGATTGGTCATTGCCAATTATAGTCATGGCCTTATAAAAGCGCTGCTTGTATCGGGAAGACTTTGATTACTTTAAATATCTGCATTTACTGCAATGTCATCTAAAACCTGAAAGCTTTTATACCAATTATTCATTATTATCAGTGTACAATAATTTAATTGAATGTTATTTAAATTGAAATTGATTTTAATCCCTTGCCAACAGTGGAGGAGTAATTGTTGAAGGTTATAAGAATTTACTAGAATTCGCAGTTGCCCATAGGCGCCATTTCCATCTTTGTTTAGTGTTCTTCTTCCTCTTCTTCGTTGGCTCGCTTAGAGTCTTGCTTGTCTTTTTATTTAACTCCTTACCCTCCTCCTCCTTCACTTCATCTACCCTATCACATTCCCTTGTCTACTCTCACCCAGGAATCTCGTATACCGCCTTTTCCAACCATCTCTAGACGTTCCTTCTTCATCATCATCATCATCATCATCATCGTCATCATCATCTTCTTCTTGTTCTTTTTCTGCTTCTACTTCTTATTCTTCTTCTTCTGTTTCCTTTTGCTACTCTCAAGCCCCGAGTCAAGGACCGTTCTCAAGGAGGTCGTCGGTTTTGTTTAAGT